CCTCCCAAGTAGCTGGGACTACAGGCGCCCGCCATCTCGCCCGGCTAGTTTTTTTGTATTTTTTAGTAGAGACGGGGTTTCGCCGTGTTAGCCAGGATGGTCTCGATCTTCTGACCTCGTGATCCTCCCGTCTCGGCCTCCCAAAGTGCTAGGATTACAGGCTTGAGCCACCGCGCCCGGCCGGCCCTCAAGATTTTATAGCTGTCTTATTATTTCAGCAGCTTCCTATCTATCTCCTTATAGTCCAACAGTCCATCCCTTTAATCAATTCTATAACTGCTACCAGAGAAATATCCCTGCAATGCATTTTATATAATATCCTCTAATTCAAAGCCTGAGATTGCATCTCACCACTTCAGAATAGTTTTTAACTACTTCCCCTGATATTTCTTATGTCTCTACATCAATGGTTCTCAAAGTATGTTCCCGAGACCAGGAGCATCAGCAATGAATAAATACTAAATGCTAAGTGCTCAGTTAATCACTGGATTTTGAAATAACAGATTATTCATTTTTCTGAGGTAGCTGCAAACTTAATTTACAAAAAAGAAATAATTTATTGCCTAATATTTAATAAAAACTTTCTAAAAAGAAAATTGACATTTGAGTTAAGAAGAATTTAATAAAAAACAGAGTATATTTCATCATCTTGATAGGCAATTTAAACAAAGTTAAGTTGAGTTAAGAAGAATTTAATAAAAAACAGAGTATATTTCATCATCTTGATAGGCAATTTAAACAAATTTAAGTTTTTTCACTCAAAACTTTACTTGCCACAAAAACTGTTTCCTTACTGTCGGTTTTTTTTTGTTTTTCTGAGACAAAGTCTTGCTCTGTCACCCAGGCTGGAGTGCAATGGTGCCATCTCTGCTCACTGCAACCTCCGCCTCCCAGGCTCACGGAATTCTCATGCCTCAGCCTCCAGAGTAGCTGGGATTAAGAGTACCCACCACGATGCCTGGCTAATTTTTATATTTTTATATATTTTATATTTTTAGTAGAGATGGGGTTTCACCATGTTGGCCAGGCTGGTTTTGAACTCCTGACCTCAAGTGATCCACCCACCTCTGCCTCCCAAAGTGCTGGAATTACAGGCGTGAGCCACCACTCCTGGCCTCTTACTGTCATTTTTAAAAGAACAGGACCAACCAGGCATGGTGGCTATGCATATAATCCCAATATTTGGGAAGCTGAGGTAGAAGGATCACTGAAACCCCAGAGTTTGAGGCTGCAGTGAGCTATGATCATGCCACTGTACTCCTGCCTGGGAAACACAGTGAAAACAATGTCTCTAAAATGTCTCTAAAAATATACACATATTAAAATAAAATAATAGGCTGGGCACAGTGGCTAATACCTATAATCCCAGCACTTTGGGAGGCTGAGGTGGGTGAATCACTTGAAGTGAGGAGTTCGAGACCAGCCTGGCCTACATGGTGAAACCCCATCTCTGCTAAAAAAAAAATTATTACAAAAATTAGCAATTAGCCAGGCATGGTGGCACATGCCCGTATTCCCAGCTACTCGGGAGGCTGAGGTGGTAGAACAACTTGAACCCAGGAGACAGAGGTTATAGTGAACTGAGATTACACCACTGTACTCCAGCATGGGCGACGGAGTGAGACGCTATCTCAAAAAAATAAAATAGGCTGGGTGCGGTGGCTCACACCTATAATCCCAGCACTTTGGAAGGCTGAGGCGGGTGGATCACAAGGTTAGGAGTTCAAGACCACCCTGACCAACATGTTGAAACCCCATCTCTACTAAAAATACAAAAATCAGCTGGGCGTGGTGGCAGGCACCTGTAATCCCAACTATTCAGGAGGCTGAGGCAGGAGAATCGCTTGAACCCGGGAGGTGAAGGTTGCAGTGAGCTGAGATGGTGCCATTGCACTCCAGCATGGGCAACAGAGCAAGACTCTGCCTCAAAATAAATAAATTAATTAAATAAAATAACAGAACCATTATCTGTATTCCTATTTTTGTAAATCTATTTAATAATAAATTCAAACACAAAATCCATAATTTGTGTTCCTATGGAAACCTTGCAAGCACATTGCTTTAGTTATCACATACACAGAAAAACATTGTATAAAATATACTGCCAGTCTGAAGCCATGTCACCTGAACATAAATGATAGTTACAATACTAAGTTTCCCATACTTCCAAACAGGAAAGAGATTAGACAAAGAAATTCAGTCTCATCCAGAAAAAATTAAAAGTTAATATGCTAGGATTGTCTGGTTCTACAACATGGATCATATTATATGATATATTACCTACTACTATATTACCTGGCAAACCGTTCCTTATCGTTAGACATCTGATCATCATCACACCTGAAGGAGAAAAAAAGGATTGTTTCAAAGCATTGCACTTGTTATATCTATTTCACTCTGAAATGAAAACTAGAAAGGGGTGAAACTATTCAATAGAAAAAAAGCTAATGGAAAAGCATCACAAAATGATAGAAATAGCAGCACCCCACAGAATTTAAAAGACCCACAACTATTATTTGTCAAGTTTCTGGTATTTCCATTACCCTTACCAGACACACCAAAAAAAGATGATGATCTAATGACAACACATCTGACTGGTCTGTCAGCACAATTCTAAAGTAAGGGATAGCTTTGGATTTTTTTTTAATTATGGCAAAAAACACATAAAATTTACCACATACCATTTTTAAGTGTACAGTTTAGTGTTAACCATATTCACATTGTTGTGCAACAGATATCTAGAAGTTTTTCATCTTGCAAAACTGAAACTCTATACTCATTAAACACCATTTTCTCATTTCTCCTTCACCCCAACCCCTAGCAACCACCGTTTTACTTTCTGTGTCTATGAATTTGACTACTTTGTAGATACCTCATGTAAGTGGAATCATACAGCATTTGTCTTTTTGTTACTGGCGTATTCTTTCAGTATAATGTCCTTAAGATTCATCTATCTTGCAGCATATGACAGGCTTTCGTTTTAAGGCTGAATAATATTCCCTTGTGGGTACATACTACATTTTCTGTATCCATTCATCTGTCAGTGGACATCTGGGTTACTTCGACCTCTTATCTACTGCACAAAATGGGCCAATAAACATGAGTGTGCAAATATTTCTTTAAGACTCTGCCTTCAATTATTTTGTATATATATACCCAGAAAAAAGAAGGGGGAGGCTGGGAGCAATGGTTCATGCCTGTAATCCCAGCACTTTGGGAGGCCAAGGCTGGGCAGATCACCAGGTCAAGAGATCTAGACCATCCTGGCCAACATGGTGAAACCCCATCTCTACTAAAAATACAAAACTTAGCTGGGCGTGGTGGCATGTGCCTGTAGTCCCAGCTACTCGGGAGGCTGAGGCAGGAGAATCACTTGAAGGCGGAGGTTGCAGTGAGCCGAGATCATGCCACTGCACTCCTGGTGACAGAGCAAGACTCCATCTCAAAAAAAAAAAAAAAAAAAAAAGAGAAGGGGGAAAGTGAATTTGGTGGTGCTTTTCTCAGGCACAACAACCCGACTTGGTAAGATAAACTATGATAGTCTTTTTTTATGACTAGGAAAAGGATAAATGAACTTCTCTTTGGATCTGCATGTAGTTGTGACTACTGGATTTTGTGGAAGCAATGACTCATGGTTAGAGCTAATTCACAGGTATAAAAAAAGACTAGTGGTTACCCTCATATCTTTCATACACACAGTGAAGTTCCACTAATAGCATATATCATTATAATTCAGGATTAAAATAGGAGGAATTCTCAATAAAGTTGTTTGAAAAAGTCTGTCTTCTCCAGAAATTGAAATCTCTTCCCTTCTTCACATTTATTGAGACTCATTAAGTCTCAAGAGACCTCTTAGAGAATTATACTTCCACTTGCAACTATTTCTTTGTGATGGCCAAGTCACGGTTGTTGTTTTCAAGAGTATTTGGCAAGGTTCATCTAGTCAGTAGCCAGAAATATGAGCCTTAACTTTAAATGTTACTATAAAAAAAGAAGATAGATGCTATTAACTGTATGAAGCATTATAAAACTAAACAATGGCAAGCAATTTACAGTATGGACATCCTTTGTGTAAAAACAAAAACTGAGATGAGTGTGTGTATGTTCACATACACACATCTATATATAATTGTGTATACACTAAATATTTCTGGAAGGATACTCTACAAACTGGAAACTGCAGTTGTCTGAAGAGTTTTGAAAGTCCAGGCCAGGCGCAGGGGCTCACACCTGTAACCCCACCACTTTGGGAGGCCGAGCCAGGTGAATCAGGAGTTTGAGACGAGCCTGGCCAACATGGCAAAACTTTGTCTCTACTAAAAGTACAAAAATTAGCCGGGCGTGGTGGCAGGCGCCTGTAATCCCAGCTACTCAGGAGGCTGAGGCAGGAGAATAGCCTGAACTCGGGAGGCGGAGGTTGCAATGAGCAGAGATCATGCCATTGCACTCCAACCTGGGCAACAAGAGCGAGACTCCATCTCAAAAGAAAAGAAAAAAAAGAGTTCTGAAGGTCCAAAGTGAAAAGAAGATGTGCTTTCACTGTATATAACTCTGTACTGTTTGAAATTTTGTTTTTGTTTTTTTATTCTTTTCTGAGGCAAGGTCACCCAGGTTAGAAAGCAGTGGCACAACCTCGGCTCACTGCAACCTCTGCTTCCAGGACTCAAACCACCCTCCCATCTCAGCTTTCCGAGTAGCTGGGACGACAGGCACACAGCAGCACATCCAGCTAATTTTTGTAATTTTTTTTTTTTACAGGTGGAGTTTTGCCATGTTGCTCAGACTGGTCCTGAATTCCTGAGCTTAAGCGATCCACCCACCTCAGCCTCCTAAAGTGCTGGGATTACAGGTGTGAGCCACCATGCCTAGCCTGAAATTTCTATAATAAAATACACTTATATTACTTTCCCAATTAAAGAAAAAACTTAGTTAATAAAACAAACAAATAAGTTTAAGGTGCAGTGGCTCATGCCTATAATTCCAGCACTTTGGGAGGCCAAGGTGTGCAGATCACCCTAGGTCGGGAGTTCAAGACCAGTCTGACCAACATGGAGAAACCCCGTCTCTACTAAAAATACAAAATTAGCCGGGCATGGTGGTGCATGCCTGTAATCCCAGCTACTCGGGAGGCTGAGGCAGGAGAATCGCTTGAACCCGGGAGGCAGAGGTTGTGGTGAGCTGAGATCATGCCATTGTATTCCAGCCTGGGCAACAGGAGCAAAAATCAAAAAAAAAAAAAAAAAAAAAGAAGGAAGGAAAATAAATAAATGATATTAAATCTGGGCACCCACACAATCAAATCATTTTTTTTGAATTGGGCTCCTTTATCAAATGTCTGTTACTCAGCAATGTACAGGCTACCGGGGTAATATTCTTCCTTTCTTTGAGTCTTACTGTTTTCCTTACTTGAAAACAAGACAAACAATCGGTCTTCAGCAAGAATATCCCCCTTTTCTGAAAGAACTCCATCAATACATTAAAAAGTCCATTTGCAGGCCGGATACAGTGGCTCATGCCTGTAATCCCAACACTTTGGGAGGCCAAGGTGGGAGGATCGCTTCAGCATAGGAGTTTAAGACCAGCCTAGGCAACATAATTTTAAAATTAGCCAGGTATTATGGCTCACATCTGTAGACCCAGCTACTTAGGAGACTGAGGTGGGAGGACTGCTTGAGCCCTGGAGGTCAAGGCTGTAGTGAGCCAAGACTATGCCACTGCACTCCAGTCTGGATGACAGAGTAAGACCGTGTCTCAAAAAAATAAGAAGAAGAAAATAGGCCAGGCATGGGGGCTTACGCCTATAATCCCAGCACTTTGGGAAGCTGAGGCGCATGGACCATTTAAGGCCAAGAGTTCTGGACCAGCCTGGCTAACATGGTGAAACCTCGTCTCTACTAAAAATACAAAAATTAGCCAGGTGTGGTAGTCGCAGCTACTCAGGAGCCTGAGGCATGAGAATCACTTGAACCTGGAAGGCAGAAGTTGTAGTGAGTCAAGATTGCACCACTGCACTCCAGCCTGGGCGACAGAGGAAGACTGTCTCAAAAAAAACAAACAAATAGTCCATTTTAAAAACTACAGAACATTAATTACTCAAAAATACAAATTCCTCATGCCTGTAATCCCAGCACTTTGGGAGGCCAAGGAGGGCGGATCACAAGGTCAAGAGATCGACACCATCCTGAGCAACATGGTGAAACCCTGTGACTACTAAAAATACAAAAATTAGCTCGGTGTGGTAGCACACACCTGTAGTCCCAGCCACTTGGGAGGCTGAGGCAGGAGAATCGCTAGAACCCGGGAGGGGGAGGTTGCAGTGAGCCGAGATCGTGCCACTACACTCCCGGTGACAGAGCAAGACTCTGTCTCAAAAAAAAAAAAAAAATACAAATTCCAATTCCTGCTACCTATAAGAGGATTCAACAGGTGTCAGAGGGTATGACAGAGTCATAGATTAATGACACCTCAACCAATGAATTACGCCTCTCAGTATGTACTCCCTTGTGTAACACCCTCATATACTCACAACTGGAACATATGACTTGCTTTGGCCAATGGGACATAAGCAAATGTCATATAAGCAGAGGTTTGATAAGCACTTGCACACTGGGATTTGTGCTGTAGATTGTAGCTATCACCACATGAAAAAATTCAGTCTGGCCTCCTTGAGGATAAAAAAACCACATAGACAGAAATACCCAGCCATCCCAGCTGAGTCCAGTTCTCAGCAGACCAGCTGAGAATGCAGTCTTATGAGTCTAGGTGAGATAAGCAGAATAAACGTGCAGTCAATCCACAGAATTGAGAAATAACAAACTATTGTTCTTTTTAAGCTATGAAGTAATACAGAACTGATACAGAGGGTTTGTAAATGCTGTCCTATCCTCACTGAGATCCTTTCTCTCACTGAGATCCTTTCTCTAGATATATTAACAGAATGCTTAAAAATTTTCTGAGATATAGGATATTTATAGTTTTGTGATGAAGTACTCTTCTTAGACCTAAGGACAAAAATTTACAAGTCAGAAGTATAAAGATCATAAACTAATTTTTAATATCAGACATATAAGGAAAGTTTTTCAGTCTCTTACCTCAAAAATTTACTGTTCCCTTCTCCATCGTCATCAAAATCCAGCCTGAGGAAAGCCAACAATAAATACTTTAAGCCTGCTGATAATACAAAACATTAACAAGTTAAAATTTCTCAACACAAGCTACGTGTACACCCACCCAAATGGAATAATGAAAAGAGGAAGCGTAGAAGTCAAACAAAGCTACATTACCTCTTCTTCATAGTCCCAAACTAAGCAAAGAAGAACAAAACTGGGGCCGGGCATGGTGGCTTACACCTGTAATCCCAACACTTTAGGAGGCTGAGGCTGGTGGATCATCTGAGGTCAGGAGTTCGAGATCAGCCTGGCCAACATGGTGAAACCCCGTCTCTACTAAAAATACAAAAATTAGCTGGGCATGGTGGTAGGCACCTGTAATCTCAGCTACTCAGGAGGCTGAGGCAGGAGAATTGCTGGAAACCGGGAGGTGGAGGTTTCAGTGAGCCAAGATCGCGCCATTGCACTCAAGCCCGGGTGACAACAGCGAGACTCCGTCTCAAAAAAAAAAAAAAAAAAAAAAAAAAAGTACGAAACTGGGTAATAGAAAAAAGTACCTTCTGCTACCCTAACACTTTCCTAGCGTAGCAGTCAATTTTTGCCAAAGTTTTGCATCAGACTACAACCTCTATAAAGGGAGCAGGAATCCACTCAGAAAAGGTAAGAAAAAAATTAACATAAATAATTCAGATCCATGTTTCATTTCTATAGCCTGCTCTAAGCCATGTTACCGAATTTCTGAAACATCTTTCAAAGCAGTGATCTTACATAAAAGAGTAACTTAACAACTACGAAGATTGTTAGATAATGTTTCTTTCCTTCATTGATCTAATAAACATGAAATATATTCTACATTCAAGACACTGTGCTAGGTGAGGTAAAAACTAGAACCTTGCCCTCAAGGGGCTCTTCACCTAGAGAAATACAAATATAAAACAAGTGAGAATAGGAAAGTGTCACATAAGGGGTACAATCAACATGTTACAGACATTCAGTGAAAGAAGTGAATTTCATTTAAGGAGATTAGGAAAGATTATAAATAATAAAATAGGCTGATCTCTGTACACTACTGAACTAAAATATTGCTCATGTTACCACCTTAACCTAGCGATCACTCTTTTTACTTCTACTAGTGGGATATGTTGATATTATGGGCCTCTACATGGGTCGCATTTGAAGTAAACATACAGCATCAATCCTGAAAGTGTTTGTTCCTCTTCCTCCTTCCTGAATCCCCTAATCTGATCACCTGTAAAATCTTACCTATCTACCCAGTATCTCAAATTATTTATTTCTTCTCCTTCTTTCTTTCTTTTTAAGAGACAAGCTCTCAGTCTGTTGCTCAGGCTGGAGTTCAGTGGCATGATCACAGCTCACTGCCGCCTTGAGCTCCTTGGCTCAAGGGATCCTCCCGTCTCAGCCTTCCAACTAGCTGGAACTATAGAAGCACGCCACTGCACCCAACTAAATTTTTTTATCTTAAAAAATCTCAGTTGGGCATGGTCGCTCACACCTGTAGTCCCAGCACTTTGGGAGGCCAAGGTGAGCAGGCTGCTTGAGCTCAGGAGTTCAAGACCAGCCTGGGCAACATGGTGAAATCCTGTCTCTACAAAACATACAAAAACTAGCCAGGCATGGTGGCACATGTGTAGTCCCAGCTACTTGGGTTGGGGGGTGCAGGAGGGGCTGCAGGCCTTGAACCTGGGAGGTCAAGGCTGCAGTGAGCTGAGATTGGGCCACTGTACTCTAACCTGAGTGACACAGCAAGACCCCATCTCAAAAAAGAAAAGGAGCCAGCCACGGTGGCTCACACCTGTAATCCCAGCACTTTGGGAAGCTGAGGCAGGTGCATCACTTGAGGTCAGGAGTTCAAGACCAGCCCAGCTGACATGGTGAAACCCCGTCTCTATTAAAAATACAAAAATTAGCTGTGCATGGTGGCAGGCACCTGTAATCCCAGCTACTCAGGAGGCTGAGGCATGAGA